ACTCCGGAGCACTCCGGAGTAGAACCCAGCCCAAGTTGGAGTGGGTTTAAAATTATGCCTTTAAATTTGGAGCAACCCGGAGTACTATGGAGCAACCCGGAGTAAAGCATTGGAGTAAGTTTAATTTAGTGGAGTGGGTTGATGATTGGGTCAACCCAAACCAACCCAACCCAACCCATTAACAACCCTAGCTGCCAGGTTTTATGCATCTTGAGGAGTCTGATTTAAATATAAATAAATTGTCTAGTTGTGTTTCTACTTCTATTTTAATCTTCAAATCTTGTATTTGTTTTACGACTTCATTTATATTTTCAGTAGGTTTCTCTTCTTCTTCTTGTCATCATTTCTTTGGGCTGTCATTTGATTTGTTTTAGTATAAATCTCTTTTTCACACCATCTATTTTATTTTTTTCTTTTTATATTTTTTCTTCACTTATATTTGTAATATATTTAATTGATGCTGGATTGCTTTTTGTGATCCTGGCTTTTTTAGCTCATCTTTTGACTATATCTTCTTGAAAACAAAGGTCCGCCTCTCTTAGAGTGTCTCTTACTTGTCTATATAATCATAATTCATATACTGTTACATGGTTTGGATTTCTTACTACTAAGCCTTAGCTAAGTTATCTAAGTCGTTTAGTTCTATTAGCATGTATATTTGAAGAATTTCTACTAGTTTGTTGTCATTTATATACTTAAAAACTTGGGAATTTGCCCTATATATATATACTATTAAACTAGTTCAAACTGGTTTTGTTGCTTCAATCTCTATTTTTGCTAGAACTTTCTATATCTTTCTTTATTGTTTTCTAAATCGCCACGTATTATAATTCTTTTGTTGTTGTTGTTGTTTGTTGATCGTTAGTGTTTCTTAGAATAGAACAGGATTGTTTGTTTGTTTGTTATTGCTGTCTGTTGTTACTTTCTAAAATAATACGTATTTACTTTGTTTGTTTGTTGTTTTGATGTTTACTTGTCATGTGTCTTGAATTTACAGAGTCTAGAACAAAATTTTAAATTCTCTAAATTTTTTGATAAAAAATTTTAAGAAAGTACTATTTTTCTTCGAATTGTTTGCTTTCAAGTTTTTGTATTAAAAGACTTGAAATATTTTCTTGTGCTGAATCTTTTTTCTTAATATCACAGAAGATGTTTTCTATATCAGTTGTTGATAAAATCTCAGTTCTTTGTTTTAGCGATTTTTGAAATTGTTAATTAGCGGAAAGAGTTTAATGAAGAATTATTGTATATAAGAGATTATATTAAAGTTGATATATATGAGAAATTTTATATATAAAAATTTATAAAACTTTGTTTTGTAGCTTAGGTTGATATTGATAAGATTGATATTAATGAGGATCACCTATATTTTTGGCAAACATTTTGGTATTGTTAAAATTTTTATATGAAATCTTTGAAATAATTATGCTATATGCTTATAATATATTTTGATAAAAAGAGTTTAAAAAATTTTAGCAATAATTTTGGCAAATATGAAAATTAATTACAGCTGCCTAAATGCTATAATTATTAAGATTAGCAATTTAGATATATATATATAAATTGTATGATAATCTAAATTAGCTGTGTTATTAGTATAGGCAGCATCTATAATTTATATTAAACCAGTATTGTTATGAGAATTTTAAAGATAATACCATATGGTATTACCTTCAAGATATCTATTTTTATATAATACTGGCTTAATATAAATTATATTATAAACTTGATATTAGCCAATAGCTAGCTATGGAAATTTTGGTAATAATGATATTAATCATATTTTTCACCTAGAATTAGCCCTTAATAATTTTATTCACACACTATTAGAGTACCAGCAAACAAGCATAATTCTATGAAACGTGCTCAAACATGTTTAAAGAAATGAATTCAAAATTTGATAGACAAAGTACATAAAAAAACATCTTTATGATTAACTTGTACTTCTGAAGTAATTGTGTTATCAACATTTGATAATACACAAATGTCTCACAGACAAAAAAGAAAAATTAATAGCAAGATAGTTTAGAAGATAATAAGTTGGATACATGCTAGATTTAGAAATCAATTGATTTCTAAAATGAAAGAATTTGGCAAAACTGTAATAATATTTGTTTCAAAAGCATATACAAGTAAGGCATGCAGCAGTTGTGGGTATATTAAAAAGAATTTAGAAGGAAATAAAGCTTAAATACAATAAATATGGATTTCAAATTAATAGGGACTTAAATGGAGCCTGAGAGATTTTTTTTTAGACTTTGCTTGATGGCTATAGTTATGCAAATATAGTTATGCTAATTGATTGATTATATAGCTGAATATTTTTAGTTGTATAATTAATCAATTCAATCTATTCACATTTTGTATTTTATTTCTAAAAATTAGAAATAAAGATTTTAAGTTATATTTAAATTAGTTTGTTGCAAAAAAATGATATACTTGTATTATTTTTTTGGTTTATACAAGATAATATTATAAGTGATTATATGTTTTCTAGAAATGAAATATTTCAGGATTATATAGCAAAAGCTTATTCAATCAAATTAAGATATGCGAAAAATATACAGAATAGCTAACAAATATAATTAGTTCTATAGTATAAATTCTAATAGATACTACAATAGAGTAGACTCTTTGGGTTAAACTTTTCTCTAAGATAAATCAGTCCTAGGTTTCGTAATCTAAAATTAGATATTGTAATATGTAATATACCTGTTGTAATACTATTATAATAATTAATTAAGATTATTAGACCAAAGAGATCACTTATAAAAAAACACACATATCTTAATCTATTAGAATTTATATAACTTATCATCTATTTTTGTGTTAAAAATTTTAATATATGTTATAAGCCCTTTCCAAAATATTACTTATGCAGCAATGTACTAAAAAATATCTAACCATATCACTTCTATCTATACTCTAATTACCATTATTTTCTCTAGACCAGGTCAAATATCATAAAAATATTTGCTGAATACACCCACAAATACAATGAGGAATAATATCATTACTGCTACTAAAAAAACTCACAATTACTATTAATTAAATTTCTTGAATAAATAGATTAGTGATAACAAAAAAATTACCATTTAATTCATTGTATAATCTATTATTATTAGAATGATGAGAGATGTTCATGATTTTCTTAACAAAGAATATAACTTGTTTACATAATATTTTTATTCATAACAATTGCCATCAATATGAATAATCAAGCTAAAGTTTTGCAATCTAATTTGATACAAAACTAAGATTTTTTTCTTGCATTTACAAATAATGAATCAATTTATTTCATCATACAGTCAAACCCCTCTATAGTTACCTCCTCTATAGTCACAAATTTGGTATAATTACAAATTTATTTTTACTAATTATTTATAACTACAGTCAAACCCTCTATAGTCACCTCCTCTATAGTCACAAAATTAGTATAATTACAAATTTATTTTTACTAATTATTTATAACTACTGTATATAGAAAATACCTCTATATTAGTCATACCTCTTTACAATCACAGTTTTTTGTATCCTGAAGGTATAACTATAGAGAGGTTTGACTGTATATTGTAATTAATTATTTTTGAATATATATATTTGAATGCATCAAAGTAGGTGTTCACAGATTCATTTCAAGTTTGTTCTTTGGTTAAAAAAGATTTTTGTTTACAATGTTTTACATAGCAATGTTTTCATCGTCTTAAAAGTGACTTTTTGTTGCTTTAAGATAGTTCTTTATAGATAGTTCTTTATCGCTTTAGTAGTAGTTCTTTCATCACTTTATTCGTTACTTTAGAGGCAGTTCATTCATTTAACACATGTGTTCATTTAATAAAAATTAATTTTTTTTATTAGATTGAGATTTTTAGACATATATGAATTATGCGAATTTTAATTAATAAAATTATAACCAGTTTTGTTTTTGGTAATTTCATAGAAATTATTTTTTGTAAATGAATATATTTTTATATTTGAAAGGCGAATCAAAATAAAAATAATGAATAGTAAATAGTAATAAATAATTATTAAAATCTCAATAAATAATTCAATTAAAGTACATATCTCAATTTTAATATCAAAATTGTTTCATAACGATAATAACAATAACAAATTAATGTTAAGTAAATTAAGTTATTTATTTGGATTATTTTCTAATTTGGTAATTGCATAGTATGCAGATTAAGGTATTTCTTTTTTCTTTTGTCCTCTTTAATCACTATTTCTTCACATATCGATATATTCATCAGTTGTTCGAAAGCAAAAAAAATCAATTACCAAAAGTAAATATCAAAACTACCCAAAATTAACAAAAAGGCAATCATGCATACCACCAAGTGCTAGAGAAGCTTCCACTTATTACGTAAATATAGCCCCCCTCCAGAGTCAGTCATTTAATAATTACAAGTTTTAAAGTAATCAATCATTTGACAATTGCAAGCTCTAAAATAACTAATCGTATAGAGTTTATATTATGATTACTTTAGAACTTGTAATTGTCAATGACTAACTCTAAAAGAGGGCTATATTTATATAATAAGTAGAAGTTTTCTAAAAAAGTTTTCTTATGAACTATTTAATTACATTTTTTTTCTTTGTTCTATAATAAGTATTACTTTTTCTGCATTTAATTTTTCTATTACCTCATTTTTTTCTTTAATTTTTTTATTTTGTTCTTCAATCATCTTTAAAAACCTTTTCTACTTTATCTTTTTCGTCTTGTATTTCTTTTAATTCTTTTTTCAAAATTTTAATTTCTTCTTCATTCTTTCTGTTTGTCCTTAGCTTGTAAAGCTTTATAATTATCTTTAAATGTAGCATAAATTACTTCTAGATTTGAATGTTCTATGAGGAGCTCGCTATATTTCTTATTGATATCTCTGAGATTAATTTTAGATTCTGTAATTTTTGCTCTAGATCTTTATACAATGATTTAAGATTTCTGTATTCTGAATCTAGAACTGCATATTTGGTTTTGAGTTTTGTATGATTGTTATCTTTTATTTTTAAATCTGCATTCTCAGTTTTTAAAATTGTATTCTGTAATTCTAAGGCATAATTTCTTTCTTCGGTTTCTTTATTTTTTATCTTAAAATTTATGTTATCTGTTTCTAGTATGTGATTTCTTTTTTTGATCTCATTATTTTTTACTTTAAGATTTGTGTTCTCTTTTTCTAGGGCATGGTTCCTTTCTTCAGTCTCTTAGTTTTTTACTTTGTGATTTGTGTTTTCTATTTCAAGTGCGTGATTTCTTTCTTCGATCTCTCTATTTTTTACTTTTAATACTTCATTCTGCGATATGAGAATTGATTTTTGTTCTTGAGGCTCTTTTGGTTCATAAAAGTTTTATCTACATTATAAGAATAAGTTAGTTATTTATTTTTTGATAATAGTGAAATCCAAGAAATACTTACTTCGAAGATAATATTGAATAAATCTTCACAATACTAGACAATGATGCAAAAACAGGATTAATTTAAATTTTAATAGATATTGTCATCTTATAAACTATTCTGTGAGGGTGAAAATCTATATCTCATATTCAAATACACTTACATTATTTGCTAGTCCAATTGTATCTCCAACAGTATTGTAATTTTTTTGTTCAAAAAAATTTTTAAGTATACAGTAAGAAAGATAGATATTAATTTAATGAAAAGTCTGTGTGCTACCCGGGGTGGTATACTACTCTGTCTAAATTAAATAGTAATTTGATGATGCACATCACAGGGTGGCAATAAATTATTTACTACTCCAGGTGGCACCAAGATGACTCCTTAATTTAAATAATTGAATTAATATACTGTAATTATCTTGATGATATATGTGACAATTCCTAAAGCAAAAATTATGATAACCTTGGTAATATATTTTTTATAACCTTGATTGCCACAAAAAATATTGACCACTTGTTGCTGGTCAAGAATTGGACTTTGTCTTGTCACATGAGAATGTTCATTAACTAAATGTTGATAAGAGGGTATCTCGTTGGGCAGGGATTTTATGTGCGAAGTTACTGGAATTTTATTACCTAGATTTGTTTGGTATGAAAAGATCAAACTTTTTTGAGATTGTTTTGGAGCTTCCGAAGATGATTGATTCGAGGAAGAGGAAGTTGAAATTAGATCCATATCAGTTGAAGTTGAAGATGAACTATCAAATTTCTGACAGCTCAGTTGATCGCCATTAATCAAATTTGATGAAATTTTATTATTTGAATTCTATGAATCTATAGAATTCAAATAAAATAATTTTTATTGAATTATATCAGATGGTTGTTGAGATATCTTCGCAGTTTTAGAAAAAAATTTGGCACAGCTTCTATTTTGATGAAAATTCATGGCACCAACCTTGATTTTGAAAAGTTTGGTCTATAGTGATTACTGTGCAATAACAAGATTTTTAGAAAATATATTAAAATCTTTCTCCATAAAATTTTAGCTCAAATAAACGAGAACTCATAGATTTACTACATTTTTATCGACAATTTGGTTTTTTTTAAAAAAAAAACTTTGAGCGAAGATATTTCAGCAATCACCTGATCAAATTCGATGAGATTTTTTTATTTGAATTCTATGGATTAATAGAATTCAAATAAAAAAATTCATCGAATTTGATCTGATGGTTGCTAAGATATCTTCACTCAAAGTTCTAGAAACAATTTGGCGCAGCCATTTTTTATAGTTTGATATTTTTAAAAAACTTTTAGCGAAGATATCTCAGTAACCACATGATCAAATTCGATGAAAATTTTTTATTTCTATAAAATTCAAATAAAAAACTTTTAATCGAATTTGATTAGGTGTTGCTGAAATGGGCTACCATTTTTTTTTGGGCGACGCTATGTAATTTAGTCATCTAGTATAGCTCGGAGATCGGACAGGCCCTTATTTGTAAAAATTTTTGATTTTGGGCCGCTATATGTAAGAATTTTTATTTTGGGCCCTCATCCGTAATTATTTTCATTTTTGGGCTTTTATGTGTAAATTCCCCATTTTTTTGTTCTTATTTTATATGCATGTATGATTAAGATAAAAAAATTTTTCATCGATTTTAAATAGGTGGTTGTCGAGATATCTTCGCTCAAAGTTTAGAAAAAAAAAACTTAATTAGCTATCAAAAGCTGCGGCAAAATTTTTTCCAAACTTTGAGCGAGAATATCTCGACAACCACCTACCTAAAATCGACGAAGTGTTTTATTTTTACTATATGCATGTATAATTAAGATAAAAAAACTCACATCGATTTTAGATAGTGGTTGTCGAGGTATCTTTGCTAAAAGTTTTGGATAACTATCAAAACAAAAGTTGCGGCAAAGTTTTTTTTCAAACTTTGAGCGAAGGTATCTTGACAACCACCTATCTAAAATCGATACATTTTTTTAAAATTCTAATTCTATATGAACGTTTAATTAAAATAAAAAAATTTTCATCGATTTTAGATAGGTGGTTGTTGTGATATTTTCGCTCAAAGTTTAGAAAAAACTTGAATAACTATCAAAAGTTGCGGCAGTGTTTTTCCCGACAACAACCTATCTAAAATCGATGAAATTTTTTTTTTTTTATTCTGTATCTATATGAATGTATAATTAAAATAAAATAAAAATTTTATCGATTTTAGATGGTTACCAAAATATCTTTGAGTAGTTTGAAAAAAATTAATTACAATTGAATAATTTCGTCCAATCAGAATGGAATATTCATATATTTTTAAGGGTTATAAGGAATACATCTTAAAAATCATACGATCACTCTGAAATGGAATAACGGTTTAGAGCGCGTGGTACGTAACAGAAATGTTGCGGGTTCGACTCCGGCTGGTGCCATGCTGTAATGCCCGTAATCCAGATCGCCCAGCTGAAGTATCAGGTGATCAATTTCGGCCTTTATTTAGTTATTTTGCTATTTTGCCCAAAATCGTCCAATCATGATCAAGGATTATCAAAAAAATTTTACACGAAAATTTTATTATAAAATGAAATTTATAATTATGTAAAAATAACATTTGGTTATAAAGTAAGTTAAAAAATGTCGTTTTTTTTGAAAATTAGCTTCCGAATTCACTATTGTTAATTTCCGAATTCACTATTGTTAATTATCAACCTATCCAAAATGCCCAACCTATCCTAAAATACCCGAGTATTTCAACAAACAGTAAAAGCACTTCTTTCTATTTTATTGGTTTTTATCTTGTCTAGATATTAAAAAAGCTCTTTTATTAGTTAGTTATAACAAGTTCTTTGTTTGTTACTTTTTCAATGTCACTTAGGAGCAAACCTTCATGTAACAGTTTATCAAAAAAGGCCTCAATCAGCTAATATAAAATTATTATGAATAAAATGATTGCCGTTACCGATCAATAATAAAATACGTATCAAGAAAAGCATTAATGTATTCACTGTACAGCCTTCGTAGTCATGATTAGTGATGTGCCGCGTACAGTACTATTAGTGATGTGCCACGTACTGTACTATACGTACTGTACTGTACGTACTGTACGTACTGTACGCTAAAATTTTGACAGTCATTTTATATGTTCTGAAGTTTAGGCCATAAAATTTATAAGTTCCTAAATATTCCGAAACGATTACGGAATATTCCGAAATTACGGCATAAAAAATTTTTACTATACGTACTATACGTACTGTACGTACTGTACGCTAAAAAAATCCGAGTATCATATAAATGGCACATCACTAAGTACTATACGTACTATACGTACGTACTGTACGTACTGTACGCGAAAATTTTCGCCGATCCATTCTACCAGCCAATCAAATCGCTAGATACGCACTATACGTACTGTACGCGAAAAAAATTCGGGTATCATATAAACGGCACATCACTAGTCATGATAATCATGATTCAAATATCACAACATAGTGAGTATATCTTTTCTAAGTTTGGATGGGTCCACCATATGTACAGTACAATAAATTGAATTCATGTACTTTTTTTATCTATCACCCAACTCATAATATCAAAAACTCCCAACTCATATAATATTCGAGAAAACACAAATGATATTCAAGAACACCCAACTTACCGTTTTCAAGGTTACCAACTCATAATATTTAAGAACGTGCAGCTTATGATATTTAAATTGTACAACTCATAATATCGAATAACACCCAACCCAGAATAATCAAGAGTGTCCATTTTTTGAGAATGTAAACGAGGATATAAAAAAAAAAAACATTTAAATAAAACTTTACTAATTACTAATTTAATATAAAAAGTTGCAGTGCGAAACATTTATAAAGTTGGTTCGAGCTTGAAATCTTTTTCAAATTCTTGTCATTGTTGAAAATGAATTGCGGCACCAATTTATGTTCTTGTCGAAAAAAAAATTCATTATGCTCAAAAGATGTAACTCTTGGGAGGGGAGTGGAATGGGATGAAACAAACAAATAAAAATGAACAAAGCATTTTTAAAGTAACGAACTATTATGACGAATTAACTTCAAATTAAAATTTAGTCTAGAGATTCTAATTGAGTTGCTAATTAGGCCAGACCAATTTGATTCAATAGTTTGCATTACGCTCTTCTCACAAAAGAGAGGAGCAAGAAAAAGAAAATTATATATCATATTCCTCTGACAATACCTTTGTATAATTTTTACGACCAAAATTCTCGTAATCCGATGATCGGTGCATAATTTTTTTACGACTAAAATTCTCGTGATCCAGTGACCAGATATAATTTTTGACACTATTCGAAACAGATTCAATCATTAGATCACGAGAATTTTGGCTGTAATTCATTTTCAGAGATGTGAACCGTTATTTATTGAACATTTAAATAATAAATCCAGTGAATATCCACTGGATTTATGATTATTTAGGTATCAAATAACGGTCATATATATTTCAGAGGAATACCGAATAGATTTTAATTATATTAATTTTTTGCCTTACTTTTCAGAAAGTATAAAAGATTTACTAAAATTTTGGTCCCGGCCTTGTTCGTCTTTTATGTTCATTCATTTTCTTTTCAGAAAATTTCGAACCCACATAAATTTTCGCTTTAGCAGTTCTATTAATAAGCAATAAGATTTTAAACTAATACATTTTGTCGCACATTTTATTGGTCGCTATAAATTATGTAATTAGGGAGTTATTTGGCATTTCGATTGGTTGTTTAACTTTTTGGAAGGGGATGATATTAACCGAAAGTTTAACTTCGAATAACCTAATTGTATTCTAATTTTTATCTTATTTTTTATTTTATTTTTTATTTTTATTTTTTTTTATATTTTACATTTATTTTTTTTATATTTTATTTTACCAGAGAACCGTCGAAGGGGGGAAGGAAGGTAATGTTAACCGAAAATTAATTTTGAACGGCCTTAGCAACGAATCAAATTTAATATAGGTCATTATTCAACAATTTAATAAGCATAGCCTATACCAAATTTTATTTCTAGATGGCTATAATTATCTATATGTTCATTTTGCCGGGGCCATTAGGAGGTGATGTTAACCTGTTAACTGAAGAATCAACTTCGAACGGCCTTCTACTAAAATGGTAAAGATGGGTGGTGTTACACAACGAAGTTTCACAATTAAACTTTGGTTGTATAACCATTATACTTTTGCGTGTAACAAGTTAATAGTTTATGCGAAGTATAAAGCATACCTTAATTAGCCTTTAAATAGTTTATAGCTTATTTTAGAGTTTATTCATAGATATATATAGAACGTTATGTATTTTAGTTCTTTAGTTTTTTGGTGAGTCTTTTTGATAATTTTAGTGCGTTGGGAACGTACTAGGTTGGTTAGTTGGATAAGGATATTTGTTATTTCAGTGTCTGGGACACAATAAAGGGATATTGGTTTAGTATTTTACGGTGCCTTGTGTGTGTTAATAACAATTGGTATTTCATATTAATGCTTACGACCCTAAGCTAAATTGGCTCAGCAGATACAAAGTCTCTCCCCCAGTCGTAACAGTGGCTTAGTGGGTTAGCACATGTGAATCATGTATACACCCAAATTATTGCGAATACGCGATTACTGTATACTAATTTGTTGATCCCTGCGCCTTGAGCGTAGATGCTCAAATTAAAGCGTATACAGCCAGGAAATCATGTATACGTTCAAATTAGGGTGTATTCGCTCAAATTTGAGCATAAACGTTTTAAAAATTAAAATTGTACGGTATATAAGAACTTTGAATTCAATAAAGAAAAGTTAGTTCTCCACTATCAATTACCAATAAATAAATACTTATTTGAATTTTCCATTGAGACTTTATCTTTTGAATTCAACTTGTAACTTTAATAAACCCCCCTTTCGAGACTCAATTCGACGGACTGAATTGACTTGTAGATTATTAGACTCGAATTCTGGTATTCTCCATAGACAGAAGTTCGTCTGATTGGCTAATAAATTCAATTTAATTTTACATTATTTATACAGTTTAGAGTACTTTTT